ATGTAATTTGTTGTAACATTAAATTAAAGATATTCTTCAATATCGTATTCAAACATATCAAAATCTGTTTTATATTTTTCATATAGTCCTTCTAATTGTTGCTTTGTGAGCTCGCCGTAATATCTTCTCAATATTTCACAGAAAGAGCTGTTTGTTCTGTGTGGAACGTAAGAAGGGAATTCGACTACGTTATTCGCGCCAATCTTCTTCAAAATGAAATCTACATCCGCGATTAAGGTTTCATATTTACCTATAAAATTGTAGTGAATATTACACATAGAGCAGTGGGTGGCAATTACATTCCAATGACGATTGAATCTTCGTACATATGCTAATAAAAATGTCACGAACTCCTGAAAACTGAATTGTTCATTCACATTCGTCTTGTTGTTCGCCTTATTCACCAAAGGAGTGTATTGTTTAACAAAACTTCTTTCAGGATTCTCCTCAAATTTGTCTTTATATGCTGACAGAATCCGTGAAAAGGGATGTCTAGAAAACATAAATTTAGTGTACGTTTGGAGACGGATTTGTCTTTCTTTAAGTGGATATGTTTTCAGAGAATTGTATTTGTATTTATAAACACTCTTCGTTATTTCTGACACGTTATTGAATGTCCCTCTTAAAACCAGAAAAACTCTGCGCCAATTCGAGTTAGCAACCTTAGGTACTGCACAGTATATAATCTTGTAAGTATCGTCTACCAGTAGATTATCATATATACTGTTGTCCAATTTCTTTAATTCAGGATATTGTTCGCATATTTGATTCATGTGTAGTTTCCTTTTACGCTGAATGTTTTCCAAATTTTCCATCTGTGAATAAATAAATATGCAAATTATATTAGATATAATTAAACAATCCACACGTACCGATTCTATATAATATTTAAAACGACAAACACACAATAAATACATCATTTATTAGACGTGTGATGTAGTGGTTGTTTTTTTTGATGAATGCATGGTACGACTTACACTTGTTACAGCAACGTCTTCTAAAGAAATGTTCTTAATTGTCTCTTTTGATGGCATGATTAAGTCTACATCTATTGAAGTGGGATGGGAATTGTAAACGCTCACTTTACTATTAACTCTATGCCATATCGTCATCAAATCTAAAAGAAAATACAAGACAGATTAAAATGTCCGCACTGTGTATGCTGATTGTAATTTTGTATATTGACATATAGGCTTCAAACCACAATTAACATTTTTATCAGGAATAAAAGTCACTGTATCAATAAATGTAATCTTCTTTATTATTTTGGCAAGGGATGTTTTATATTGGAATAGTGTTGTAACAGTTCAGAAGTCTTATCCCTCCGATACTAATAATTGTGTTAACGTATAATTTACACGCTTCTACATTAGTGCTACATAGTAAAAACAACGTTTACCTGTGAGCACTCCATACTGTACGAGGAATATAAATATAGCTGATATGGCAACCAATATACAAAACACAGTGATTCCTATTTTACCCATAATTCATAGCATAACATCTGCAAAAAACAAATGATCCATGACGAATCACAAACAAATATATTTTTTTCCATAATCGAATCCTCAATACTGCCCTGTCTATGTCGGTAGGTGTTATGGTTCATTGGATTGATTTGAAAATGGGAATTAAGAAGTAATTGGAATCAAAATTGTTGAATGTGGATAATTGCAATTAAATGAATGCAGCCAAGGGGAAAACATTATAATTAGCAACATACTGCCATTTCGTTTTATGTCCACAACCATATACATGAACAACTGTGATTGGATGTATATTTTAAAAAAAATATTATTGAAAATTAATAATTAAATTATTAAAAATGTATTTGAAAAACGCACTACACATGTATCTCAGCGAATTGCAATTCGGGCGACGGTGAAGAAATTACCCATATATTCGTCATACAAATCAAATGAAAAAAAAATCTAAAATTGTTGAAAAAGTAGTTTATAGAAGAACAACTTTAATTATAACTTGACTTGAATGACATTGGAATAAGAACCAATGTCTCAGACTATTAAAGGCAGCCATACTGTAACTATTTCCTTTTTATTGCCAAATCGCCACTTTTATGATCTGTGAATCATTAGCCCAACAAACTAAGTATGGTTCAACCATAGCTAAATGGAAGCACCACGCACAAGTGCAACTGGCAGTTGGGTCTGTATAGAAATTAGTATTTTGCCTGGCGTAATTTTCAAAATTCATAATGTATAAAAGGTCGACTAATTTCATGCAAATATTTCACTGCGAAGGAAAGCGAATTAAACCTTTTAAAATTAACCCAAATATGCTTTCCAGTCCAGGATATTATGTGTTGATTGTCTGTTATTTATTAACTCCAAACTCACAGAAAGTAATTTTGTATAGCAAAAAGTGGGTAATTTGACCAATAATTTGTAATAATACAAATTACGTTGGGAGTTATGCCTTTGTGGTATGCAAAAAGACGTAGTTGGTTTCCACGGAAACGAGGATATCTATAGTTTTCTGTAAAAAACATATGTTCTAACATACGTTTTAAAATGCATGTTTACTTCAATTTTTCTACATCTACACATTTTTTACATATTTCAACTCCCGATCTACATTGATAATACTATATTTTAGTGTATAGACTCATATTTCAGCTATTAGTCTACTTTAGAGATACATATATTTATAATGTATACCTCACAAGGTTAGCCAAATATCAATAAACAACCTTACGTGTGTATCATATTAAATATATGTACCATATGCCATATGTCCTAATTATGTCATGTAAAATATTGTTAACAAAGTGTGTGACCCGTTGATCACTTCATGGCTCGTATTTCAACATTACTGAGACATGTAATTGTAGTGTTATTTACTGCTAACCAAACTTGTACCATCTCAAAATGAACGC